GTTCGGCCGTGGGGCTCAGCCTGGCGCGGGCCTCACAGGCGCCGCCCGGGAAGCTCGGGCCCGCGGGCCGGCTGCTCGCTCTCCCTCCTCCCGCCTCCCTCCCAACAGCCCCTGCTTCTTCCCTGGTCTCCGATTTCCTCTTCTCGGCCAGCGACCCTTCATTCATTCCCTCTATTGTGCTGGGTGGTGCCGGGGTGGCGCCACCTGGATGCATGACTGACCCGTCCTCCAGGTGCTGCCAGTCCTGCTGGGCCCGAAAACATAAACATGCTCCGCCTCAGACCTGGGTTTGAATGTCGACTCTGCCACTCACTAGTATGTGACCTTGGGTTAGTTACGTGATCCTGGAGTCTGGAGTAGGGTCGTTGTGACGGTGGCTCTTGATTAATTCTGGTAAAGCATTCTTAACATGGTGTCAGCTACATAGCAAGTGCTCAGTAAGTGATGGCGGGCGCAGTGCTTGCGGGAGTTAGGCAAGACTTCATGGAAGAAGTGGCGTTTGGCAGGATTATCAAACCTGTACTTTTGTTCTGAGCCCCACCTTTCAAAAGGACAGACCTAAGCAAGAAGGCATTCAGATTCCTGGAGGCGGAGGAGGGATGGCCTCCACTTCAGGTGGAGAAAGAAGTGGCAACAGTGGGTAAACTTCCACCTGTAGATCCCACCTGCCCAGTTTTTGTATGGCCTGTGAGCTAAGAATGCTTTTTTTTACATATTTTTTAAAAAAAACATTTATTAAGGTATAACTTACACACCATACAATTCATTCATATAAAGTGTACAGTTCAATGTTTTTAGTATATTTACAGTGTTGTGCAACCATCACAATAACTTTTAGAGTATTTTCACCACCCCAAAAAAGAAACCCTGAACCCTGTGGCTGTCATTGTCCCCAGCCCGCCAATTCCTCTATCCCAGCCTCTGGCAACCACTAATTTACTTTCTGTCCCTACAGATTTGCCTACTCTGGGCATTTTATATAAGTAGAAATTATTCAATAATGAAGTCCTTTGTGACTGGCTTCTTTCCTGTGACGTAATGTAGGTTTTCACATTTTTAAAAGGCTGAAAGGATATTTCATGATACATGAAAATCATGAAACTCAGATTTCAGTGTCTATAGATAAAGTTTTATTGGAACACATTCCTGCTCACTCATTTATGGCTGATTTGGGGCTACCAAGGCAGGGATAAGTTGTTGCTACAGAGACTGTATGGCCAGGAAAGTCTAAAATATTTACTGTCTGGTCCCTTGCAGAAAGCTGGCCAGCTCCCTGTCAGCACACCGCCGCAGCCCTTTCACCCTTATCCTTTGCGATACGTGTTACTAGAGATGAAGCTGGGCTGGCAGTTTTGTCACCTTACTCTCCTGTTATGCAGAGTGTTCCTCTCCAAATTGCAGCTGAGGCCTCTTGCACTTGAAAAGCTGTATGTGGTGGCCGGGAAAATCTTAGGCGCATTAATTATCAAGATGTGGGGAAGGGATGGGCCTGCTCTGCCACATGGAGGACAGAGCATACCTGGTCTTTTGTTCTGAGCCCCACCTTTCAAAATGACAAACCCTAAGCAAGAAGGCATATAGAGCAGAGATTTTCAACCTTTTCCATCTCATGGCACACATAAACTAATTACTAAAATTCTGCAGCACACCAAAAAATATATTTTTTGCCAGTCTAACAAAAAAAATAGGTATAATTTTGATTCATTCATACTGTGTAGCTGCTGTTGTGTTGGCTGTTGTCATTTTTTAAAAATATATTTTTATTGATTTCAGAGAGAGAGAGAGATAAAAACATCAATGATGAGAGTCATTGATCAACTGCCTCCTGCATGTCCCCCACTGGGGATTGATCCCACAACCCCAGCATGTGCCCTGACCAGGAATTGAACCACGATTTCCTGGATCCTAGGTCGATGCTCAACCGCTGACCGGGCTGTTGTCATTTTTTTATTTGACAGTATAAGAGAAAAGAGGTCAGTGCCCCTGACTGAAGAGTCAGGTATTGCATGTTTTAAAATTCTGGTGGCACACCAGTTGAAAATTGCTGGTATAAAGTGAAAAAGTCCAAGGAACTGGGGGTGTTTGTTGTAGAGAAGGGAATCCACCAGGGACAGGAATACCCCTTTCATGTGTTATCTGAAGGGCCGTCATGGGGGAGAGGGTAGACAAGTGAAGCTTGTGTTTAAGCTAATCATTCAGAAGGTCCAGGGCTCCTAGCCATTCTCTATTTGTAGGTAGTAGAGGGAGCTGAAGTTTGAAAATTGTAACCTGCACTCTTTCACCTTCCCTCATCTCTTTAACCTGGTGAGTTAACATCAACCTGGCCTAACCTACCCATCTGTTAGTTTTGTAGAACTAGCTATATCTTTCTTTCTGAGACTCCTTGCTTTCACATGCAGAAGGGCTGCGCAAATGCCTGGGCCCTGCCAAGAGCTGGTCAGTAGTTTTATTGTTTGCTGTGGACAGAACTGTACATATAACAGTGAGATCTGTCCGCCTGGTGTCTAGTGCTGTATCAGCTTGAGGAGGATAATTCTGGTAACGCTCCCTGGGTGGGTGAAGCCATGGTTTCTAAAACTGGACATGTAGGTGTGGGGCAGCTGCCTGAAAGATCCAGCATGCTTCAAGTTCAGTCTAGAGCACAGGCCTACAGGATTTATAAGACACACAAAGACACTCTCACAGAGTTCTTGAAAGATTCCAGAGGGCAGCACGAGTATGCGTGTGGGGTAAGCAAGCACTTTTTGTAATGGAGATACTGGTATATTGGCTCATGTGTCTTAAGTAGTCTTTCCCTAGGTATCAACTTGATTAAACTGTCTTCTCTTTTGAGCCTAGAGAGGCAGGTTGGGCCAATAGATCCCTTTAAGTCCGTCTCATAAAACCCAGGTCGATGAGGGACTTTCCTAGCTGACTGGCTCTTCTCTGGCCCTCGGGGTCAAGTGCTATTTCTGGCCTCCCTGCTGAACATCACAGGAATCAGTGGGTTTTGGTGTTTCCCTGTTTCAGGCTCTGAGTCAGGGTCTGTTCTCTTCCCCTTGAGGCACAGAATAGAAAGCGAACTTTCCCTTTGAGCCCTAGCCTGAGCTACTTCACCAGGTTTTCACTTGCTGAAATCCAGAGTGAGGACTGAGAAGAAGGTTGCTTTCATTGTACTGAGCGCATCATGAGGAGGGATGGCTGTCTTTTAAAAGCATGCTTTAAGGCCTTTCTAGTTGCTGTTGGAAAAGCAGGCCAACGTAATGGTCTGCGACTCACTAACTCCCAGGCCTGGCAGCACCTCTCATCAGTGTATTCCTCCCTCCTGGGATCCCGAGGGCTTTCTGGGCCCCTTGGGAAGCACTGAGCTATTTGTTTTGCCTTTCCAGAAAGCCATTGATCTGGTTACCAAAGCCACAGAAGAAGATAAAGCCAAGAACTATGAGGAGGCGCTCCGGCTCTACCAGCATGCTGTGGAGTACTTCCTACACGCTATCAAATGTGAGCCACACCACCTCCAGGTGCCGAGCCCCGCGCCACGGGTGCACGCCCCGGCGGCTCACGGGCCCCTCCGGTTCCCCTCTTGCAGATGAGGCACACAACGACAAGGCCAAGGAGAGCATTCGAGCCAAGTGCATGCAGTACCTAGACCGGGCGGAGAAGCTGAAGGATTATTTACGGAACAAAGAGAAGCAAGGCAAGAAGCCAGTCAAAGAGCATCAGAGTGAGAGCAAGGGGTGAGTACTGAGGAGTGGAGAACCGGCCGGGGCCAGAACCCCCACGATCATGTGCCCTTTTCCTTTGTTGCTGTTATTTTTGGTGCTAGTGCAGCCTTGGACTTCCACGGCACCTTCTTTTGGGGAAGTCTACTCACAGCAGCCCATAGCTGCTTTTGTCAAGCACTTTACAGACTACTTCCACACGCACTATCTCATTGGGTCTGGGATGGGGAGCCAGTGCGGAGGTTACTAGCCTTGGACTCTGCAGCCAGACTCTCCGGGTATAACCTGGTTCTGCCACTTCCTAGCTGTGTGACCTTGGACAAGTGCCATGTTCTCCCTGTGCCTTCAGGCTTCACATCTGTAGGAGGAGGAAGATAGTGGGGCTTCCCTCTTAGTGTTGCTCTAAGGAGCAGGTGAAATGATAGGGGGAAGCCCTGAGACTAGAGCTTGGTGCACATAAGGATTAAACAAATGTCAGCTACTGTTGTCATCAGTTATCCTCTATCTGATTTATGAGGCAGCAGACTAGAGGTTCAGAGATTGCCAAGGTCACAGAGCTGGGACTTGATGGGGTCTGGACCCATACCCAGGGTCAATGTTTCTGACTCCAAAGCCAGTGTTCCCTCTGCAGTTTTCTCCTCACGTTTATGGTGTGCCCACCATGGAGATTCCAGTTATCTGAGCACAAAGTCCAATGGTGTCCTGGAGGTGAGGGGAAGATCCTGGGCAGGAAGGTCATGGAGTAGGAGAGAGGTGGGTGCTGTGTCAGCTGCATCACCGGAGGTGAGAGGCTCTGCTCCTGGATGGAGAGGATTCCCTGGAGTGAGAGACACACCAAGGAAGGGGCAGAAGGCCAAACATCTCCAAGAGAGCTGCAAGAGTTTTGAGGATGGTATATCACATCCAGACAGGGATTGGCCAGGGACAGGTAGGGGATGGTCAGTGACTGTTCCTTTTCCAGCTGCTCCCCTGTAGACTTCAGAGGACTTACCCTTCCTCCAAGTCAGAGCCACTTGCTATCTGGTTTTGAGTCTGTATGAGAGCTGCAATTGATTGCCTTGCCTGGCAGCTCTTGAAGTCCGGCCAAAGCACATGTCCCTCACCAGTCTCTAGAAAGGGCATATGTCTCTATTCTTAGTCCTTTAATGAAAAAACGAGGATGGGTTACGAGAGTTTCCTGGAGGATCCACTGTAGGCCCTGAATGTCCTCGGGGTACCTGTTTGTGGATCTCTCACCATTGTTGAGAAGGGAAAGCATCCCTTTATCACTGTGCTGGCAGCCAGAGCCTGGCCTCACTCTGAGAGCCTCCTTACCAACCTCCTCTTGCTCCAGCCTGTCATCTTCTGTCTCCTTTCCCAGCAGTGATAGTGACAGTGAAGGGGATAATCCAGAGAAAAAGAAATTGCAGGAACAACTGATGGGTAAGAGGTTGGAGGCCCCATGGCTATGGGAGGGGGATGTGGTGAGCGCCCCTGGTGGGTCGGGGCTCTGGGTCCAAGGCTCTGCCTCCTTCTTCAGGTGCCGTTGTGATAGAGAAGCCCAACATTCGGTGGAGTGACGTGGCCGGGCTGGAGGTGGCCAAGGAGGCCCTCAAAGAAGCTGTCATTTTGCCAATTAAATTCCCACACTTGTTCACAGGTAAGAGTTGAGCCACTATAGGGCCAGATGTAAAAATAACAGGCATTTACAGAGAGAGCAAGCTCTGAGCTCTCACTCCGAAGATGTCCAGGAGCAGGTGGCGACTCGACTCCCTTTGCCCTTAATGGAGGAGGCCTGGCCTTCCCATGGGCTCCCACTTGGGAAAGGCCCCAGGGCCTGCCCATTGCAATCATCTAATCCTTGGCTTCTCTCTGGTGTCAGAAACACCTTTATAACTAGAACTTTTACTTGGCCATCCCAGTGGGTGGGCAGGGTCAGGAACCAGTGCCAGCCACTGTCACTTTGCAAGGTCACAGGGGTCATGAGCCAGGGCTAAGACAAAGCCTAGGCAGGTAATTTAGTTCCCTTTATTCCTTTGCTCTTAGAATCAGTTTTCTTGTAGAACTTTTCATTTCCAACTGTATTTACAGTGACTAAGGCCCCTCTGCTTTTTTCTGTTCCTCTTCCCCAGTCAGAAGGAAGCTCAGTCCAGTTTATTCTTTCTTGCAGGGAAGCGTACCCCTTGGCGAGGGATACTGCTCTTTGGACCCCCTGGCACAGGGAAGTCCTACCTGGCTAAAGCAGTGGCAACAGAAGCCAACAACTCCACCTTCTTCTCTGTGTCCTCCTCAGACTTGATGTCTAAGTGGTTGGGGGAGAGTGAGAAGTAAGTCAGCCACCAGGCTCTTCTCTCTGGGCATCCCCAGCACTCTCTGCTGGTGGTCCAGCTTCCCTGGCCTTGGAGTCACCTCCCAGAGAAACTGCTTTTGGATGTCAGGGAGAAGTAGCCAGCAAAAGGGTATCTTGCTAGCTCATTGGGTGGGACACTGTCCTGACCAAGACAGCTGAAATTGGAAGGGAACTTGGGAGAGATGAGTCTTCATGAAGGGAAGAGAAAGGCACTCCCAATAACTGGGTATCTGGCGAGTATTCGCTGTTGGGGACTTTATATAGTTAACATATTCCCCACACCAACTCTCATTTTGAAGATGATGAAACTGAGGCTGAGAGGAAGGAAAGCAACTTGTCTTAAATCCAGAGTTAATGAATGGGGTTGCCAGGATTAAAGCTGATACCAGGCTTGCTCTTCCCCTTGGTGTAGTGCTGCCAGAGGATTTGTCACTACTATTTTTTCTGAAATCCAAGCATGACTATAGTCTTGACCTCATGGCAAGGGCGAGAGAAGTGGTGACTGGGACCCTGGCTGGGCGTGTGTGTGGCTGTCCAGGTCCCAACCCCATTTTTCACCTTCACAGGCTAGTCAAGAACCTGTTTGAGCTGGCCAGGCAGCACAAGCCTTCCATAATCTTTATCGATGAGGTGGATTCCCTCTGCGGATCCCGCAATGAAAATGAGAGTGAAGCTGCCCGAAGGATCAAAACAGAGTTCTTGGTCCAGATGCAGGGTGCGTGTGCTAGTTCTGGGTTTCCTCCCTGGTTCTTGGTCCACCTAAAGACAGCCCAGGGTTTTGTTAGTTAGCTGCAGCTGGATATGATTGTCCTTGGGGTGGAGGGAAATATCAGAGAAGCAATTCTCAGCTCCATCTCCTCAGGCCTTCATGTTGGAGAGGTCCCTGCAGTCTTTGCCACCACCCCTCTGCCCCTCCCAAGGCAGTCAGGGTAGCCAGGCTTTTTGCTCCAGGAAAGCTGGTAGGCCGCTGCTGGAGGTGGCACAGGGATGGCTTCAGGTCAGGTTAAGACACCTGAGGGTCTTCCCAGCAGGTCTGACCGATCCTTACAGGTGTTCTGAGTCAGCGTCTGTTTCCTTGTCCACAGGAGTGGGTAATAACAACGATGGGACTCTGGTTCTTGGTGCCACAAACATCCCATGGGTGTTGGATTCAGCCATTAGAAGGAGGTGAGTCTTCCCCAGTAGGAGCCAGGGTCTGAGGTCTTTTCCCGCCATGGTCAACCCCCTGCTAGCAGCCAGGGATGCAGCCTAACCCTGTTTCTCCAGAGGCTCCTCGTGTCTGCATGACGAGCAGAGCCCTGAGTGAAGCCAGCTCTGAAGGGCCCCCTTTGTGCCTTTGCATTAAGACTGCTCCTCCGTCTGCTCTCAAGTCCAGCCATGTGCTTGGCTCTCTAGGTTTGAAAAGCGGATTTACATCCCGTTGCCAGAGGAGGCTGCCCGTTCCCAGATGTTCCGGTTGCATCTGGGTAGCACTCCCCACAGCCTCACGGACGCCAATATCCACGAGCTGGCCCGGAAGACAGAGGGTTACTCAGGTGCCGACATCAGCATCATTGTGCGCGACTCCCTCATGCAGCCTGTTAGAAAAGTACAGTCAGCAACACACTTCAAAAAGGTGAGTGAGCCAGCAAGAAATTGCTGAGAAAGTGTCGCAGGAAAGGGGATACCAGCTTTCTTTGCCAGCTGACACATCGTGAGTCTCTTGGAAAACCAAGGGCAAGAGCAAAGTAAGCCCTTTGGCTCCAGGGGCTGGGGTGGTACCTGCTCTCCCCTTCCCCGTAGTTCTTCCTTGAGTCTGATAATCTCAGATTGTGTGAACCTAGAGGACAGCACCATGGCAGTGACCTTTGCCACTCCCGCAGTCAGTGCTGTGCTGTTGTGTGTGGTGGGCCCTACTCAGTGTTTGAAAGCGGTGGGTACAAAGTCACACACCCTAAGGAGGAACTCCATTCACACAGATCTCTGTCAAGTATCACCAAGGGTCCTAGTATGTGTCTGGTCTCGTTCTAGATGCTGAAGAGACATTTGTAACTGACCACAGCAGACAAAAGTCCCTGCCCTCCAGGAGTCTCCTTTCTAGTGGGCGAGACAGGGAACAAACAAAACAGACTCATTTCTCAGAGGGTGGTGACGGGGTAGAGCAGGGAAGGGAGGTCTAGCATTTCTGAGGTTTGGAGGGGGTAGAGCAGGTTGCACTCTTCAAGGAGAGGCCACACTGGGTGGCATTTGAGTCAAGAGTTGAAGAAGGTGAGGGAATGAGCCTTCAGATATTTAGGAGAATGTTGCCAATGGAACACATTTCAGTTGGAAAAACATTTTTAATGTCACTGCATTTGTGGTGAGATTTGAGTTAATGAGGAAGAGGAAGATACCAAGATATCTGGGGGCCACAAAATGAGGTTCTGGAGGACCAGTGGCTAGAATTCCATAGTAATCATGAGATTCTGAAGTCAGACTTCCAGCCACTTTGACTACTTAGCCCGAGAGTTTTGAAGGAGCCCATCCCTCCTCAGACTTATGACCTAGAATCCCAGGCATTTGTTCCCATCCTGCCATTACCTTCTCTTCAGGACTCAGAAATCTGAGGTGTTTTGCTCCTTCCCCAAAAACCAAGCCAATCAGATTTCTCTTTGGTTTCAGGTCTGTGGCCCTTCCCGCACCAACCCTAGCGTTATGATCGATGACCTCCTGACCCCATGCTCACCAGGGGACCCAGGGGCTATGGAGATGACTTGGATGGATGTCCCTAGTGACAAACTCTTAGAGCCTGTGGTTTGCATGGTAAGTGGCCAGCTGGCAAGGACTGCACAGTCCAGAAAATTGGGGGCTTGCATCCAAAAATAAGCTTCTCCTCTTTTCTGTCCTAGGCTGTTGTGACTCCTAGAGAATGGCCTTTGGGGCTTTGGGTAGCTGAGGCTCCTGCTGTTAGACTCAGTGAGGGCACAGGATGGAAGCCTTAGTAATAGCATTATATTTTCTTCAGCAAAAAGAGAAAAGGCTAGGTTATGTGACTGCCTCATTCCATGGATTTAGCTTGTTTTGTACACAGGAAGAGCCAGCGAATGTATGTCAACACGTTGTGATTTGATGTAGTTGAACAGGCAGCCTCTCCTGGCTAGTCTTAACCTCTCCTTATCCTGGTCTTGCCGATGGTCTTGCCCATTCTATATGGCGAGTGTCTCCCTTTGTGGCTGGTGTGGTGGGTGTGCAGTTAGAAAGAGTTTCTCATGAGAGCAAGATCATTGGAGCTTAGATTCCCTTGGACCGGCAGTAGGCCCATCTGGAAATGACAGAAGCTGCCTCAGGAGGGAAGAGATCTGTCACAGGAGGCATTCAGGCAAAGCCAGGCAACCAGAGGGAGATCTGCATTTGGGGTAGGGCTGACCTCCCAGGCAGGCCTCTTCCCACCCTAGACTCCATGGGTGTGTGATGCTGGGAGGCCGAGGACCTGGAGCCTGGCTACTCCTCAGCCACATGCTCTTGTCTTTGCAGTCGGACATGCTCCGGTCTTTGGCCACCACCCGGCCCACCGTGAATGCAGAAGACCTCCTGAAAGTGAAGAAATTCTCAGAGGACTTTGGACAGGAGAGTTAAAAGCTTCTTAATTCTGGTGACGGTGAAGGTGGAAAGTTGATTGTGGTAAATTCATGCACTCCTCATGTCAGTGGCCAGACGGGTCTCCAGGGCTCCTCCTAAAGTCACTCCAGTGTCCCCTGTGCTGTCTGGCCACCAGCCAAGGAGCAGGAAGGAAGGGGCTCCCTGGCCGCAGAGACGCAGAAGCACGCTCCGCAGCTGGTGGAATACTGGCTCTTCCTACTTCTACTCCTCTTTTGGATGCTCGCCAACTCCTTGTCCCACCACACTCCATGTTTGTTTTTTTAAAACCTTTTTTGTTCCCCTAAATTAATGCTGCTTGGATTTTCCTCTTGTTTATAAATAAAGTTAAAATCACCTGGAAGCATCAAGGAGTGGGAGCAGCCCGTGCTGTGGGGTTGGTGCAGCAGACCTGCAGAAGTCCCCATGGCCTGTTCCTTTTAGACCCAAGTTTTGCTCCTTGTGAACTGAATGGCTGATGCCCTGGATCCCCAGCCCAAGCTCTGCCTGTCAAGGCCAAGAGTAAAGCCAAGCCATTCGCACTCCTAGGCCAGCATCCTGAGCCCTGTGGCCTCCCTGCAGGAGGAGAAGATAGTCTGTGAGCACCAAGCTGTGTAAATCAGAACGAGCGAAGGCAGTCAGGCGGGTCCCACTGCTGCCTTTTCTTCCCTCTGAATGTGAGAACGCCGAACCCAGCCACCAGCCCACGTCCCTGACCTGGAGGTGGGCCAATAAACCCTTGTCCCTTCTTGAGCCACCTGAGTGATTGCCTCTTTGACTCTTGGGCTCTTTGAAAGCATTGCTTGCTTCCCATAGAAAGACCTGGTTTTCTCTGCTGTCTTCTCTTCAGCAGACTAGGTGGTAGGTTATGTCACCAGCTGCCACTGTGCCTAGGCCTATACTCCAGTTAGGTTTGTGAGACCTTTCTTCCCCCCAGAGCCTCGAAAGTGTGGCCAGGGGTGTTTGAGGGGAGGGGCTTGGGCATTTCTTTGTATTGTCCAGCCTCTAGATCAGAGTCTCAAACTGGGAGGCCTGTGGGCCAGATGTTACCTGCAGCTGTTTGGTTTGCTCTGCTGCCAACATTTAAAAATCAAGAGTAGACATAAAAATTCAGATTAGGTAATGCTGGGCCTGGGTCCCCATGAGGCAACTTACCAGCTGCAGCTGAGCAGGGGTGGCCCTATTCAGATGACAACATGCTCTGCAGCTCACTATCCCCATGTGGCCAGTTCACACATTTGCATTGTCTGCCTAGCCCCTCTGGCCATTTGAATTTGTGACCCCTGATTCTGAGACACTCGGGTGTCCAGAGCTGGCAGACCTGGAAATGCTGCCTGACAGAGCAGAAGCAGTAGAGGCTGTCACATGTTGACCATGAGAATATGAACACAGAAAAGGCCTGGCACAGGTGGTTCAGCCTTCCCCTCCCTCTGGTATTTTCAAACCCGAGTGGTCTACAGCTGAGTGTGTGACCACATGGCCAACTCTTAGATCATGTTAGCCTTGCACTGTGGTCATGGTGTTTTGTTTGGTTTTGAATCCTCACCTGAGAAAACCTTTTTCCATTGCTTTACAGACATAGTGGAAGGGAGAGAGAGAGAAACAACAGTGTGAGAGAGACACACTCATTGGTTGCCTCCTGCACATGCCCTGACCCAACCGGGATTGAGCCTGCAACCAAGGTACGTGCCCTTGGTCAGAATCAATCGGGCCCCGTCAGTCCTCGGGCCAACTCTCTAACCACTGAGCCAAACCTGCTAGGGCACTGTGGTGTTTCTTTGATCTGGTTAGGAGTGCTGAATTGAGCCAACTTTTGCTTGGTTTCTTGAAGGCTTAGGCTCGGTGCTCCTCTCCATTGCTGGTGGGTTAGCCCCACTTTGTTACCTGGAGTGCCAGCCAGCCTGACGCAGCAATTGTGACTGGAATTTTTGTTGCTTGCTCTGGAGTTCCCACATGTGTCTTGGTTAGTTATGTTCCCTCAGCCACCAATTATGTTTGTAAATGCTGGACTAGAAGCTAGGATAGGACACTGCCCCCTGCCTGTACTTTATGTTTAGTCTCACTTTCTTTTCTTTTTTAAAAAATATCTTTATTGATTTCAGAGGGGGGTAGGGGGAGAGAGAAACGCCAAGATAAGTCATCAATGATTGGCTGCCTCCTGCATGCCTCTACTGGGGATCAAACCCACAACCTTGGTATGTGCCCTGACCCGGAATCGAACCTTGATCTCCTGGATCCTAGGTCAACGCTCAACCGCCGGCTAGTCTTATTTTCTTACTCTACCTCCAGTTACCTTTACTTGAATCAGGAGGTCCTTGCTTTTTTTTAAAAACCGCTTCCTCATTTCTGCTGCTTGAAAACCTAGACAAGCCACAGGGGTTAACAGAAACCTTATGGCTGCTAGGGTTCATCCCCATAACTCTAGTCATAGCTTTCCCAGAGCCCCTGAGGCTGAATTAACCTGACTAATGCTGTGGCCTTATGGTTTCTGTTAATTAATATGTGCAGAGGAACTCCCTCCCCTAAGTGCTTACTCTGAAATCCACTTCTTCCCCACTTGGAATTCTTTTCTAAACTTTCTGCCTATATTGGCTTTCACTGTGGAAGTCGACTTCCATTCTCATTAGCTCCAGATGCTGATTTGTGTGTGTGGTTTTTGTGGCTATCTGCCTGAGGTGGAAGAGATTTTATTGGAAATGGAAGGATTTGCCTTTGGGCTGTAGTGTCTTAACTAGTAGACCAAATCCTTCCTCCTATGTGGATTTGGTCACAACAGTAAATCTCATATATTGTCAGCAACAGATAGTCTCTGGCTTTCTCCAAGGCCTACTCTGAGCAGTCATTTACTCTCGGGCCTTCAGGTCAGTAAGCTGAAGTCCCGATGCTACTGAAGTACATTACAAAGGCATTACTAAGGGTTTTTAACCTCAGAGCACTGTAAGGAGGCATCAGAATGTTCTTTTTTTTTAAACTGACTGCAGTGGCGGGGGGGGAGTATGACAGTGGGAGGGAAACATCGATTTGTCATTCCACTTATTTATGCATTCACGAGTTGCTTCTTGTATGTGCCCTGACTGGAGACCCAACCCGCAACTTTGGTGTATCCAGATGATCTAACCAACTGAGCTACTGGCATAGGCCCAAAATGTTCCGAGGCCACCCTGCAGGAGCTTCTGAACATTGTCTAAAGGAAAGGAGGCTCATGAATTCTATTTTCCCTAAGGACCCATGTTTTCAATATTAATGAGAGCTTTCTACAGACTTCCCTCATGGCTGGGTGTCTAACCTCACCTTGGAGTAGTGTTAGCTCCTGTTCCTCTCCAAAGTTTAATGCACAGAGAGCCAGTTCACTTTTGCTTAGCTTCATAAGCCCCCCAGACTTGGGCTGTTTAGAAAAAGTGGTAGAGGAGAGTGGGTCTTTCCTGGGTTCATTTAATGAACTGCTGTTTAAAATTCATTCTCTTTAAACAACTTACTGGACTTCTTACTATATGGGTACTTATACTTTAAGGACTTTGGTTAAGAGTACCAGCAATGCAAAACAACATAAAAATGAGGTAAGACAAGTACCTAAAGAAACAAATTCCTTCACCTCTGACAGCATCTTAAGGTTAAACACTGGTTAGTCAGTGCGATGCTAATTTATTTTTCCAAAACAAGTGTGGTGACCAGGAAGCACAAGATCTGCTTTCAGGAAGAGGCTCATTGGCTTTTTCTCAACTTCCACCCTCCCCCTAGCCCTGCTCCATGGCCTCCACCCAAAGAACAAGCCAGCTGCCCAAGAAATCTCAGAAAAATCTTCCCTAAGTCTGATAAAGGTAGAAAGCAAAAGGTGGAAACCTAAACTGTATCTGAACCTGTTAAAACATGTGGGTACTCATTTATGTTGATATTCTCACTAAACACTTCCATGAACTGGGGCCATTCTGTCCTGTGTTTACTTCCACAAGCACAGTGGTGTCCAAGGTAAGAGGGAGGGAGTCTGTAGATAAGACACACAAATCCCTTGTAAAAATAAGAATTTGGTAAAGAAGGTCAATCACAGCCTTAACCTCCATTTTTAAACACAGCTTTCAGATATTTTGGGACTACATTTATTATCAAATCTTGGCTTTGGGAATAGATTGCACAGGTCTTACGAAGTCATGTCTACTGAGCTACTGAGAGTGGTTATTGCCCTGCTCATCCTCCATACAGAATTACCAGGAAATACCCACTCCTTTAGAGGAATTCGTTTTCTTCTCAGTTTGAAGGCAATATTTCATAGCTCATTTTGGAGCTATCATTTTAACACCTTCTTCCAACTCAGTTCAGCATGCTTTGGAATTCCATTGTTTTCCGTTGGAGCCAAGTCAATGCCAAGTAAGACATGCCCAGCTCAAAGCCAAAGTGTCTGTCTCCTGGTTTTCAGAATCCTCAGATGTGGCACGAAAGCTTTAGTCATTCACCTCCATCCAGTGGATGTTTGTAAATGTCTTGCTATCCATTTTGTCAATGAACAGGCAGCCCTGCAAGTGGTCCATCTCGTGCTGGATGATGCGTGCTGCCCACCCACTGGCCTGCCATACCATCTCATCTCCTCTGGGGTCCAGCCCTGCAAAGGAAGTTACAGTCTGGGTGAGGACATGCTGAACTGCATCATTCTCAACCTCCTTACCAACTTTCCCTGCCCTTGGATGTTCCTGTTTACATGTGGCAACATCAGAAAGGAACTTAACACCTCTTCTCCTTCCTGGAAAAGATGCACTCTGCCTATTATCAAGTAGTTAACCTGGTTCCCAGGTTGCTCTGCTTACTATGGGGATGAGATGAGAAATAATCTTCCTAATAAGGTATTTCTCTTTTGAACACTCCTCCCACTTCTGAAGTATTGCTTGTTTGCTTTCAATTCCTAACAAAAAGTACTTCAGGTTGGTACAATATAAAGTAACAGATACCACTGATTTCTAACCCTCTTGAACCAAATGACTTGCTCAGGAACAATCATCCCAACCCTAGCAAAGAACCACATTCCACAAAACATCCTGGTATGACAGGGAATGACTTGTCACCCTCACCCGGGGCTGGGCAAAGCAGGTCCCACTTCTCCCACTCCACCATGATAGATCTCAATGGGGCAGAAGTGTGTGTGTGTAATAGACACAGAGTGAGCGGAGGCATAGAGCAGAGGGCCAGCATAGAACAGCGAAATCAGGCCACCCTAACTAGGCCACCCTAACAACCCCCACTCTACACCTCCCTCCCACTCCCTCGGCATGGCTGTGCTCTCACAGGGGCTTCATTCCCATTCCAGTCAGTCAGTCCCGAGTCCTGTCCATTCCCAGGTCCTTTGTTCATGCCGGGAGGTTCCACTGACCAGCCATCAATGTGTTTGCACTTGAACTAGAGCTTTACAGAAACTTTCGTGGGATCCGAGGCCGTAGCCTCCACTGGCAGATGAGAGGCAAGCGCTTACCCAGCCGCCCCAGGGCCCCTGCCGTCCCGCACCTGAGATCTGCACGGCCTGGAAGCGAGGCACGCAGGCCAGGAAGCCGGCGACGCTCTCGCAGCCCTCGGGAAAGGTGACCAGGCGGCTGTCCAGCACCCGGAGGCTCGGGTTCACGAACACGCGCAGGGGGAAGGGCTCCATCTGGCGGGCCTCGCGCAGGCGCGGCGCGCAGGCGCGGAAGAGCGCCTCGGGAAACTCCAGGGCCAGCACCTGCAGCGGCACGCCGAGCTGCGGCGCGCTCAGCCCCACGCAGTGCCGGCGCCGCAT